ATTTTCTTCAATCGAGGAAAAAACAGGCCGTCCCCTTTCCATGGGTCTCTTCAACTTTTGGGAATAGGAAAAAGTCACACGGAGCCATATCTGGTGAATTTTTGCACTTTGCAACACTTTATTTCATTTTTTACGCAAAATTTAATACAAATTCTTTGACTTTTCAATTCTTCCATTGTAAAAATCGCCGAGCTCAGAAAAACACGTCGAACCTTAGCGACTACCACAGACAAAGTAAACAGTGAATATAGCTGAAAATTTCATCATACTTTAGGGGCATGTATACCAACACAATAAAAAAAAAATTTGACAATCAGACACTCCAGACCCGCGAAATTTAATTATTAGTAATTCCGGGTACTTTTTGAACACACCTCGTATATATATATATATATTAATTGTTTAATATGAACAAAACAGCACTCAGATTTGTTTAACACAACTTTATTTTATGATTACAGACGTTTCGAGACCATGGTGTGTCTCATCTTCAGTGTAATTTCAAAAACAGTTACTTATATACTATACATTCTTTAATAATTTATCTAAATTTTATTTAATTTTTGGTATACAAAAAACACCAACTATTCCTTGCAATGCTTGACACCGTACTAAAGAAACATATAACACTTACAGAAATATTCTAAACAAATTTGAAGTACTTATATAGATGGAGACAGAGAGGGTATCATTATAATGTAAACAAAAGGAGTGCTATCGCATACAAAAATCGATAAAAATGAAAAAACAAATTAATTTATTGAAAAGAATAAGATAAATGAAAAAATTTATAAATTATTAATGATGTTTATATAAGTGTTAAATTGTTTGGATTGTAATTGCTCTTATATTGGCCAGACCTGCCAGAACTTAGAAAAGAGACTCAGGCAACATGAATTACAATGTGAAAAAATAGATAACAAAAAATTTAAAAGTACACTTGTGGATCATGCTAATATCAACAACCATAAGTTTGATTTTGACAATCCCCAAATTTTATTCCATGAGAAAGACTTATTTAAACGGAGCATGGCAGAATCAATGTTAATAGTTCGGACTAACAATAGCATAAATCTAAGAACCGACACAAATATTTTACATGACACTTATATAAACATCATTAATAATTTATAAATTTTTTCATTTATCTTATTTTTCAATAAATTAATTTGTTTTTTCATTTTTATCGATTTTGTATGCGATAGCACTCCTTTTGTTTACATTATAATGATACCCTCTCTGTCTCCATCTATAAGTACTTCAAATTTGTTTAGAATATTTCTGTAAGTGTTTATGTGTTCTTTAGTACGGTGTCAAGCATTGCAAGGAATAGTTGGTGTTTTTTGTATACCAAAAATTAAATAAAATTTAAATAAATTATTAAAGAATGTGTATATATAAGTAACTGTTTTTGAAATTACACTGAAGATGAGACACACCATGGTCTCGAAACGTCTGTAATCATAAAATAAAGTTGTGTTAAACAAATCTGAGTGCTGTTTTGTTCATATTAAACAATTAATATTCGTTCCACTCATATCATAAAATTCTATATATATATATATATATATATATATATATATATATATATATATATATATATATATATACGTTTTTTCAATTTTAGTTTCATTAGAAGAGCAATTCAGAATCAAACGTCGAAGGACAAAAATCGTTTCTAAAAAGGACAAACCAGTCGGATTTCTTTAAGGAAGTTAATAATTATAAAGAAAATAATGATTATTATTGCATTTTCTTTGGAATTGTGCTGTATGATTATAAAGAGAAATTAGTAATTTATTAAATTGTGTTGTAAGTTCGACTACAATTTTAAGATGAGAACATAATAATGTCATAACTTTTATATTAATCTGTATGTAATCATTTGGGCTAATAAATGGACAAAGGAATCTACTAACTAGCAATAATTATGAATTTTAGAATATAAATGAAATATTACTTCCGAATTGTAACAATACTGATATCGTTTTTTTGTGAACAAAATGTCGAATAAATATAAAAATGTCCAAGTAGTAGTTTTAGAACTACAACATGAAGAAAAACTAAATTAAGAAATACCGTTGCCTGGGGTGCCTGCGCTCCTTGTATATTCTGTTGTTGTTGTTGTATAGCTATATCTACTGATCCCGGGTACCACCATTGTGCTGTGGAACCATCTCCTGGTCTCGAAACCATACCCAAACGATAGTCATACACATTTGACGATGCACTTGTTGTGGCTGGATTTTGGAAACTGCTCGCCATTTTGTATGAGAATAATTGTTGACCACCAACAGATGAGGCCGTAGTACTACTATGAGAAACAACTTGCTGCTGCTGTTGTTGCTGCTGCTGTTGTTGTTGCAATTGCTGTTGAACTTGTGCTACGGCCAATTGCTGTTGGTGATGTTGATTTAAAATATGCTGATGGTGTAACGTTTGTTGATCAGCGGAAGATATTGCGCCAGGCCACCAAACTGCATCTTCACGTCCGCTCCAGGAACCGCGATGCTGTTCCGACATTGCACTTGATTTAAATCACGATATTTATACACACAAATAGTTCTTATACACTTAAATTTTAATCGCATTAATTACCCAATTTATTAAATTGAAATGTATGAATAAATAAATCAGTTTTAAGCAAAACTATGGTTCACTTCGGTAAAAAAAATAATAATGTCAAACCGATCATTAATACTAAATTTATATACTACAACACCCAAATCTGTATCAATTAAAAAAGTATCATGCACATTCACTAATTCCCAAAAACGCACCCATTAAGCAAAATTGCGCGGGCTTTCTTACTGTAATTTTAGCATTAATCAACATCACAAAGTATTATACTAATAAATAGAACAAACTAGTAACACACAAGTTAAAAACAAACGCAAAACGCCGGCACAACAATTTAATATGATAAAAAATGCTTGTTGATATAACTGTAGAAAAACATTACAATTTTAAGCGACGCCGCGATCTCAAACACACTTTCGCATCCACGATGCCCTCCTCGAGTAGCACACGAAGTACCTCCCTACCGTATCGAACAAGTGCGAGCTGTAGCCGAGCGCTACCGGAGTCTACCAAAGTGCAGCGAATATCGCCGAATCGACCGGTCCGGGCGGTCAATAAGATGGTGAACAACACATTCCCAGGGTTATGGGACCCGCCTAAGGGGACACGAACATTCACTAACACTCGCGCATATAATGCTAAAGCAGCTGTGGGTGCGCGTTGCCGTATCGAAACACATTAATTGCCGTGCATGACTTTTGTGATACGTTTTTTTAATAACATATACTGGTATTATAATACTTAAATTTTTATTATTATTCGTAAATATTGACTAAACAATTATATATTAAACATACTAAATTAATGCGTACATCAACGCTCTTTTTATTGACGTAACATGTTTTTTTAACAGGACAAGCTCTTTAATAGTTATTACATTGTTAAAATTGTGTAAATATTTTCGAATAGACATATATACAGGGTGTCCCAGATCTTGACGTCAAGCGGAAACGGGGTGGTAGTATTGACCCTAACTGTCCTGAAAAAAATTATCTCACGTTTTTTGGAATTTATGAGCTTTTAAGTACTACCTAGAGCTTTTGCGAAATTAATTCATTTTTACTAATTAGGTGTTTGGGTATCAGTTATATTATTTACTTGAAATATGCCAACTGATTGATATTATTATGGTTATTAACACAAATATTGTCCAATTCATATTATTAAAAATTGAAATCTGTGTGCCCATAGTTGTTAATATGTATAAAAAATATTAGATAATATGCTTTGAGTCCGGCATCAACAGTCCGGAAGACCCGATAGTCCCGCATTTTTTCAAAATTTTGTTTTTCAAAAATGTGCCTTTATAGCAAATAAAAACGCTCGAAGGATATTAGAACGTTCGATGAGGTTCGGAATCATTTGGAAGGACTCGCTATTGTTCGGTAATCTAAGAGCTAGTAAACCTTTTGAATCACGGTGTTGTAAAGACTGTAAGACTAAACATTTTTGTCTAGTGATTCTTAACGTTTCAGCCCTGCGTATGATGGTAGTCCAGGAGTTTGAAACTTTAAAATATTACCGTACATTGAACTTGTTCCTGTAAGCTTGAAATTTTTATACTATGTAATTTATTCATTGAGAAGTTCAAAAATCAAATTGCCAGACGATTTCAATCTGCACAAGTACCTGCCAGACTCCAAATATATACTCTAAAATAAACTTTGTCCTTTAAGGTTAAAATTTATATATGTGTTTGTCTAAGAAGCGATTGTAAAAAGGTATATGCATTCTGGCTAGCATAAGCCCTTGCCAGACGAGTTGAAAGATTTTTAGCGAGACGGCGAATAATAGGCATTACATGAAAACTTACGACATCGATGCAAATTACATTATATAAAAATAGAAACTAGTGGTGCATGGCATCGTGCCTTATGGAAAATTGCTGGAACTTCCAACAATATTTTTTTTGATAAGATTAAATTTTTTGAAAAAATTAGTTTTTTAAGAAATTTTAAAATTTTGACAAAAAGTTACTTTTTTTGAAAAAAAAAGACTTTTTGAAAAAAAGTTTTCTTTTTTTAAATATTTTGGAAATTCTGAAATCGTGTCACCTTATCAATAGAAATCGAACGCTTTGAAAAAATTAGTTTTTTAAGAAATTTTAAAATTTTGACAAAAATTTACTTTTTTTGAAAAAAAGTTTTCTTTTTTGAAATATTTTGGAAATTCTGAAATTTTGTCTCCTTATCAATAGAAATCGAATGCTTTCTGAATAATTGAAATCGGTTGAACCGTGTTTCCGAAATCGTCGACAAAAATTTGTATCCGCACACACACGCACACGCACACACATAAACACACACACACGCATACATACATTTTTTCTAATGTATGCCAAAATGTTCAGAAACCTATGAAACGTAAAGATATGCAAAAATTTTCATTTTCGATTTTTTGTGATTTCTATAACGGAAGTTAATTCTGGTCAAAATTGGCTTAAACTATTACAATAAATATATATCAACATAAATTAATCATCATTATCAGATATAACGCTAATTATTTCTTCATCGCTATACGTCTCTCTATTGCTGATTTCATCCTTTCATAACCATACTGCCTTAATGACAAAATAAGATTACAAATATTCCAATTTTTCATGATTTGAAAATTTGAATATTATCGCTTATGTGTTGGTCAGTTCCATGCTAATTCATCAGCAATACAAGAATGTTGCGATATTATTAACTTCCCGTAGGTAAGTTATAGTAATGGACCGAAAATCGAAAATGAAAATGTTTGCATATCTCGTTTTGAAGGTTTCTGAACATTTTGGCGTACCTCACAATCAGATAAAATGGTGTGTGTGTGTTTTGTATGTCCGCATTATTTTGTCTCCTCTTTCGGGCGCACGGATTAACCGATTAGAATGGTTCAAAAAACATTCGATTCCTATTGATAGGGAGATGTGCTGATTAGTTTTGGCAAAAGCAGGTCCAGCCGTTACGGAGATACAGAGCAAAGAGTGCAGAAAACATTCACTTTGTAAATGATTCTTCACAATGATTGGGAGAAGAAGTTGTTAGGTTTTGTCAAAGGCAGGTTAGCCATTTTGAAGACTCTTCTTTTATCTATGGATACAGAGCTAAATGTTCAAAAAATGGCTGTTTTTGAGAGAACTAAGCACTAAGCATCCGATTTGAATGATTCAAAGAAATTTCTGCTTGTTTTTAACAAAATAATTGCTTTCGGAAAACAATTGTTCAAATTTTAATTTTGTAATTCAGTTTAATAATTCTTTTATAAATATTAGACAATGTTACAATATTTATGATAATCTATTTGAAAGCATTTAATAAGTTCAAGCAATTTGCCTTAAGGCACGATGCCACACACCACTAGTTTTAAAACTCGAAGAAGTACCATCTACAAAAATACTTTTTAACGAAAATCTTGTGAAGAACAAAATTATAACAAATAGTATCTTAACAAATCCGTTTTTATGACGTGTTCTAAGTGCAATATTAAGCTAGATATTAGAGATTAAATTTGTTCAAATTAAATTGAGGTATTCAAAGCCATCTAGCATCGTACTGTTGCATTTTAAACATTCCAATGAAACATGATTTTATATTACTAACATTGTAAGTTTTATATTGCTAAGTAAGGCGTTTCTAAACAATTTCTAAGGAATCAAAATATAATAATTTATTTTCAATGTGTAAGAAGGATGTATTGTTTGAATGCTATAGACAATGAGGTAATATAAAAACAATAAACTCCAAATATAATAATAATTATATATATATATAATAATAACTATATATATTATATAATTTATATTAACAATATTAGTTTGATCATATCTTGTCAATGCAATAGGACTGAAAGTTTTATTAGCTTTAATCCATGGTCTTTCGACTTATATAGTAATTACGAACTCCAGTTAATCGGATACTGATTACGTTTCAAGTTTTTCAGATCCTTTTTGAATTCTGGATTTAATGTATAACGGGAATTAAAAATACTGATCCTGAGCATATACAAAAATTTTAAATTTCTGCGAAAATATAATAACCCAGACAACACAAGACATCCTGGAAAACGTCCACAGGATATCCACGCGCGGACATTCATTGTCCCTGCGATAGCCTTACGGATATCCCGCTTATCCTGATCTTATCCGAAACATGTTAATATGTCGCACCTATGGACGTTCTGTAGGATATCCCGCGCGGGATATTCCGGACATGAATAGGATATAATTATGGAATTGTTTTTTACTTTTTAGATGAAAAATAAATTTGGATTAAAAATAAAATAAAAAGAACACAATTTCACAAAGTAAACTTTTATTACAAAATAACAAAATCCTGAGATAATTTTATAACAAAATTTAATATATACAACTTTAACTCAAAATAACTTATTTACAATATTAAAAATATAATTAATTCGGCATTCAATCCTAGTTCATGGTTGATTTTCTCTCCTGAAATAGAAAACAAATGAATAAATGCATATATATGTATATATATGAGTAAGTTCTTTAGAGCGATACATGAATCAAAATAGACAGAGATTTATAAAATAATCTCTAATTCCAAATATATCGACACAATTTGATGTCATTACGAGTGAATATTAAACTTGGTTTTTTACATCTAAAAATGTGTACTCAGCACAAATTTTGCACTAACATTGATACAACTAACCAGTCAATTATCATGATTTTTTTGTAAATAGGAAAAACATATAGTACACATCTCACAAAAATACCTTGTATAATATTTATTGGCACGTCGCAGCCAGCTTTTTGCAGCCTCTGAAACAGTAAACTATGTCTCATGCGGCAAATTTTTCAAAGCAATTCCTGGAATTAATTATATATTAGTTTAATTCATAATTTACAACACATCATAAGTATAAGATATATAAATTACCTGTGATGACATCGCAAGGCACTAGATCACAAAATTTATTTTTGCCCTTTCCTCGTCCCTAGCAAAATTCTTTGTCCAAACCATCATCAAAAATGGATTTCATAGATGGACTCTGATGGCTAAATACAGAATATAAAGAGAAAGTTTGTTTAGTATATGATAAAGTTAACAAATAAAAATAAATCTATATAAACTTTTGATTACCAATTGTATTTTGATATCTTTGCTCAGAAGAATAGCCTCCATAAGTTGAAGCTCCTCCAACAAACATAGTGGAGAGCATTTCTTCTTTGTTAATTCTCTTTCAAACACAGCATTTGATGCAAAATTAGGCATGGCTGCTGGATAAGCTGGCAGGGTAGAAATGTCAGCATTAAATTAAAAATTCTATTTGTACTAGTAACATAGTATTTCAAATAACAGTATACATAAAGCTTTAATTACCATCGTTTATATCTGCCCCCCCTTTCAATATGTTGCTGCAATATTTATAACACACGCGAACATATAATTATATAGACCACATAACATTTCCACTATTATTACTCAATTTTAGAGTATTTTGATAAATAATATTAA